CACGATATTTTTCTATTTTTTTACCTTCACACCAAGCTTTGGTTTGAAATCTATAACCATTGGTAAGAAAAATTATCTAATATTTTACTACTCTCATAGCTCCTCAAGCTAGATTCATTAGTCATTGCTCTTGTAAATCTCTGGCTTAATTATGGATCTAATTGGTGTAGGAAGTGTAGCTATATTATTATCATTTTCACTAAGTTAATTGATTATGATATATAAGGTTGAAGTGACTTGTCAAAATACATACTATTTCTTTGAACTAATTTAAAAATTCAGATTCTACTTTCTTTTCCTTCTCTAAAATTGATGTTGTAGTTTGATCATTAATGAACTTCATGTAAAAGTTTTGAATTTAGGATATCTATGTATTAGTTTATAAAATATATGAAATCTTTACTTAAATATACTAGAGATATAGATCAACTATAGTATAATTAAGTAGTGTGTACAATGTTGCAACTCTCATCTCCTTATCTATCAAATAAAACATTGTACAAGAGCCAACTACCTCACCTTGTCTATTGAATACTAATATGTTACTAGCAGCTTGACATATATATGAATCACGCAAATTTTAAGGTAGAGTATTCCTTATTGATAGTAACTGTTACAACTTAGGTTTTAAGATTAATTTTTACATAATGTGATTTTTTATGATACCAAAATATTATTATTTTGATTACTGTTTCTCCTAAAATACAATGGATATATTTCCTTTTTGTTATTTGCGTGTACTAATATTTTAGGAAAATCATACTCCAGATTACTGAAGACTTCAGGACAGAGTAGATTAGGGTTTCATGTAATGAAGTCTATAATTTTTTTTAGTCTAAAAGAGTGTGATTGTAATTGGGTAACCGTGCACACACAGACTAGGAGAGTGAATCAAAACTTAAAATGTTAAAAATAATCGTACTGCATGATTTTGAGTCATATTGGATGATTTGTCATAGTAGTTCCTCTAAAATGAAGTTAATCAAATCATGTTGGGAAATTTTTTTATACTATTTATATTATATGATGTATGTTCGTACATATGACTTCCATAGTACAAAATGGGTCTGTGCAAGTTTGTCCCATATGATTACATCATTTTTTGAACTGTTCGTACTATATGAAGTGGGGTTCATACAAATATCTTCAAGAGTACAAAATAGGTTCATAAAAGTTTGTCTCATACGAACATATCACTTTTTCAACTGTTTGTATTGTATGAAGTGAGGTTCATACAGATAACCTCCAAAGTACAAAATGGGGTCATCCATATTCATACCAAATGAAGCATGATTTGTTTTAACTATTCATGATGTATGCAGTGGGGTTCGTATAGATAACTCACATATAAAATGAGGTTTATACAGGATCGTACCGGACGAATTGATTCAATTTTGAACTGTCTGTACAGTACGATATGAAATCAAGTTCATACAGGATAGTACATGGCTATGCGATCATACTGTATAAACTAAGTACGTTCTAGTTGAAAATTTTAATTTTTTGGACAATTTTTATTGTCTTTCATAGATAAGCATCCTAAAAATTGACACTTCATATCTTGCTGCAAATTTCCCTTAAGAGTGGATAAGGAGAGTATTTGGAAGTGTGATTTATGAGTGAAGATTGAGAGATCTTATTAGAGAAAATTTTGAGGGGATTCATAAGGTTGCCCAAAAGTAAGAATCTCTTATTTGTTCTTCAAAATTCTTCTCTACTTCTTTGAAGGCTCTTGAGGGAAGATTTTCAAAGAGGATCATGCAACTCTGCCGTCACCGGGAGGATGAGAAAGGATGTTGGTACTCTTATGTAATTAGGAGGGTGAGAAAGGATGTTGGTACTCTACCCTCACCAAGAGGGTGAGAAAGGATGTTGGTACTCTACCATCACCAAGAGGATGAGAAAGGATGTCGGTACTCTACCACATTAGATTGGTGGAAGAGAAGTTTTGTAAGGGCTTCTCCATCTTGCTGTGGGAGCAAAAGGAGAGTCACTTTTGATTTAGTGCAATACTTGAAGGAGTCTTTAGGGAGTGGACGTAGGTCTTGTTGGACAGAACTACTATAAAATTTAGTGTTTTATGTTCATTTACTTTTGACTTCATTTTTATTTTCACACTTTAAATTATTGTGGTTGAAAAATATTTTGTAAAAATCCATCATTGTGTTAAATATCTTAAATCGATTTTCTAAAATTGAAGAGAATTTTTAAATAACCAATTTACCTCCCCCCTTTCTTGGTTAGCCTTAGGACAATTTTATTAGGTCTAACAATCTACTCAAACATTTAGTAAATTTTTGTTAAAGTAGTATGAATAAAATTGAGTAGTCTCATACATCAAGTATGTTTCATATATTAATCCCTCGAGATGTGCTTTATTTTTTGCAGTCTACTTAAGTTTATTTAAATACCAAAATGATGTATGGTTATGAATTAATAACTTGTTAATAATATTTGAAAAATATTATCTCTCAAAAATATATATTCACCAATATTAAACAGGTCCATAAACTCAAGCCTCAAATGGTAAATATATGGGCAGATGATATATGGAGTAAAAAAATTTAGGAGAATATCTCTTCTCAAGCTTGTACAGAATAAAAGGTATGTTATGCTCAATATGAACCAAAGTTTCTTCATTAAGTCTTGATGAGTATAAGTCCTTGAAGAAGATACGTAGATCAGTTAAGACAATTGAGATTGAATATGGGCAAGAACTGAAAGTAATTGGTAGTAAATATTCCATGAAGATGTGACAATCATGACTTTTCAGTCCAAGAAATCTTCTTTATTTCATATCAATTCATCTAATGAGGTTGGAAGCATATCCATAAGGTAGCTTTAGGCTCTACATCCATTCAACAATTCCTCACCTCTGCTCTAAAGCAAAGGTGAATGGAGCTTTTTTTTAGAAGTTTACCATTTCTACCTTCCTTCAGCTCAGTTATTTTCCTCCTGCAAATATCCTTTAAATCTATCATAGCTTTTACATTAACTATAAATTTGCACTTGATGTCCATCACTTTATTGAGCATATTATCAAAAATATTTTTTTCAATATGCTTCACATCCTAATTATGTTTAATCAAGTTTGTTTTCCAATATAACAAAGATTAGAAAATGCTTTTTCTTTGTTCAAATTTGTAAACTCCATACTCGAGCACTTTGTAATCAACTATTGATGGAGAATCAATTATCGTGTGTATAAAATTTAATCTTTCAAATGTTTTCTCACAGCTTAACCTTAGTGGAGGTTGTTTTGTCGCCACTCTTTTTTTAGTGAAAGCATCTTTATTTCTCCTTAATGGATGTTTTGTAGGTAAGAACATACGATGACAGTCAAACCAAAAATTTTTTTCCTCCATACTTCAATGTGAATGATTTAATACTTTTTATGTAATATAGGCAAGCTAGGTTGCTTGAAGTGTTCCAACCAGAAAGCATATCGTATGCTAAAAATTCATCAAGTATCTAAAATAATGTTGCCCTCATTATAAAATTTTATTTAGTAGAGATGTCATATGTTTTAACTCCTTCATTCCACAATAAGTTTAAGTCATTGATTAAATGTTACAATAACATATCTAACTTTGCCTTTGAATTATGTTAGCCTAGAATGATAAGTGTTAGAAATATATAGAATGCAGTCATACATAACTCTGGAGGAAGATTATTGGGGATAGGAATCATGGGTTAGCACGAGTAAGGTTAGGTAGATTGGTTAAATAGAGTAAAATCATCTTGACATAAACATAATCTTATATTTCTTAGTTATGAGGTGAAGGTAGGATGTATACTGTCAAAGTATTTCCATGCTTCTACTTTTGATGGATATCCAACTTGGAAGTTGTGTTCCTTCTGATATCTCATATGTGCAACATAGCTCATATATACATATAAATGTTGCAATCTAAGAATGATGGGTAAGTTGAAAAATCGATTGAGACTGTCAAATCCTTAAACTTTCCTTTTTTTTCCCCAAAATTTAGTTTAAACTTTAGCACATTATAATGATGACATACAATCTCTAAAAAATTATCCCGGTAGTATAACATGCATTCGTTAAAAAAATAATTTACTTTTATAGCCGTGAAACCAAATTTGGAATCTAATTTTTTAGTCCAGTATAAATTTGTTTGAATTATATTATCGTCAGGGTTGGTATCCTTATATAGGATAATAAATTATTAGAATATCCTTTGGTATATTATATTTTATCTTTATACTTAACATCTTCATAGCGACATATAACTTTGAGTGAGTAGTGCACAAATTCTAAATTGGTTATTACAAAATATGCAATAAATCATAGAGATTTTGTGCCTCCTTATTTAGGGTTTTATCTGTAATTATTAAAATTATGTCACAGTTACATCATAAACCAACTCCTCAAACATCCTAACTCTGTCATGCTTAATTATATTGGAACTTATAGATGGGTCGCACTAAGAGTCTAAATGGGGTTCGTACTCACCATGTTAAGTCTAGTATTAATATTTTGGCATGAATCCTCTGTGATTTAGATCAATAATAATCTCATATGGTATGAGGTAAGCTTAATTTTTATGTTTGGAACATAGAAAATGAAATATTTCCTCGGATATAAAGGAAGGTAATTGATAGCCTACCTGAATGCAATAATTAACTCCATTCAAAAATTCATCTGTTAATATCTCGCATTCAGTCAATAGTCAATTATACATCAAACTTCTATAGTTTCAAATTTCCATAACACACTTGGGATATAAATTCCTACAACCAAACAATGAGATGTGTGTTAATTTTTAAAAAATTTAAAAATGTGCAATAGTAAAAGTTGCTTGACTATGTAGTTCATTTAGCTTATAAAGGTGGCTTGGCTAAGTAGCTCATTTTGGTTTTTGGTTGGGATCTAAAACGTGTACTCTTATTAATGACTTGATCGCCCAAAGTCACAATCCCCTCACTAGGTATATTAAACACCATTAAAGAAAAATACAGCCACTGTCGGAACAAAGTGGTCCAATACAGGAATCGAACGGGCCACAAATAAATAGACCCCACGCGATTGCTTGAAATCATTTGAGGCGGGAGGCAGAAAGAGTGTTCGTCTCCTAGAGCGAGCTTGCTAGAGGGAAAGAAGGGGCGATGGGCGAAAACCTAATCACCGATGTATCGAACATTGACGCCGTCGACATGCAAAGCATTAGGAGGTTTCTTTTAATCTGTGTATTTCCTTCGGATTATCTTCATCAGTTTCCGCTCATTTACTTCTCCTTGACGCCGATAGTTTTCGCAGTCGCTTGAAGGAGCTCTCCGCGTCGCTCGATGATGTTCTCAGTTCCTCCGGTGATTTGATTCCGGAACCGAATAGTTTATTGGAGGACTTCAGCCGCAATGTGCTGGTGAAACTTTGAACTCTTTCTCGCAAATTTCGTTCATCTTTGTTTAGACTTGACTGGCATTTACCTTGAAATTGAGCTTTCACTTTGAGCAGGCACTTAGCGTAGACCATGACGTCGAGGCTTTAGGGCCAGCTGATCTAGGCAAGCTTGAGTTTTAACTATGTTTATTTTGATTATTGGGCTTTTGTCATGATCCTTTTTTTTTAAAAATAAAGTCGGAGCCACATTGTATTTTGAGGCACCGCCGTATCGGCTTCTGTTATTATTATTATTTTCTCCTTCTGCATCTGTTCAACAAAACGCAATGTCGTTGTTGTTACTTGTCTTTACTGCTAGATATTGCAGTTTAACGTGCTATTTTTAGTTGTTTTGTGACCCTACAGTCACAGTTTTAACACAAACTTACAATGATTGAAATTTGAAAATCCTAATCACGTCCATCGTGATTGAGGGGATCAAAGAAAAAAAAAAAACTCAGTCTTATTCTCCAGTTGTGATCGGGCATGTGAATTTGATATTCCCTTTTTGGCGATGATTTGTATTTTTGCAGAAGCCTTCATTGAGCAGTTAAAGAAGGATTTAAAATCAACCGAGGAGGAAAACGTGAAGTTGTCTGGAGAAATTGATACGCTTCAAACCCAAGTTTCATCAGGTTCTTCTACTCTCCCTCAATCCCAGCTCCCCTCCCACTCCTTCTTCAGCCCACAACATGACCCGTCAACCTCACATGTTTTCCAGTGTGTGCTCGGATACAATTGCATGAATGTTTATTCAGATTATTCCAGTTGATATATATACTTTTTGAAAGTAACTGTGTTTTGTCCAGATTCAACCAAGTTGGGTGGAGATATTGACGCATTGTTATCTTTGCTGAACTTTATTGACTCAAAGGTTAGTTTTCTTCCCAAAACAAAAGGTTTACTAGCAGTCTTATTGGTTGTAGGGTGGCACGCTGACCATAGAACATGGGTTCCTTGTACGGTGTATGAACTATCCAGCATTCGCTCATTGCCCATGTTAATTCATTACTATATCACTAGATGCCTAATGTTTATCAAATCACACCTACCACTGCTTTTCATTTGTGCCCAAATGCATGAAAATGCACAGTTTAGCTCCCTGATGGATAAAGGATTTGCAATTCCTGCCAGCAAAAACATTCAATTTCTATGTCTCAGAAAAAAAAAAGAGCATTTGAAGTAGCAGCTGAGGAGCCACAACTTCATTAATACCACTCAATAATGTTACTTTGAAATAAGCAAGACTGCTGGAGCTGTTTTCAAGCTAATATTAAATAACGAAAAACAAGGTTCAAGGAAATTAAGTTCTAGTTTTGACTCTGCACATATATGTATAATCTCCATGCTGTCCTGCATTCAAACATTTGTTTCGTAATGAGCTGAGGTTATGCGTGTGCTCTTTTGAATCCTAGTGGTTGTATTGTATCTGTGTCTCCGTTTGGCTAGTTAAGGTTTAAAATTGTACATGTTAGTCATGCAATTTAGTTCACGGAATGGTGAAGTTTTATGCAAAGTAGGCACCTATTAAAATTGGGTGATTTACAGATAATAACGTAGTGGCATGGTTAGCAAATATTTTAAATGAAAAATTAATGACTAAAAGGTAGCATTGGATAAGAAATAATATAGTACCTGTGTTTAAGAAAGTAGATCATCATGTTTGTAGTAATTATAGTGGAGTCAATTTTATGAGTAATACAATGAAATTATCGAAAGAGTAATTGAACATAGACTTGGAAAAATTGTGATGGTATTTGAGAATCAATTTGATTTTATATTTTTATATAATGGAGATTTACAATGGAAATGATCTATTTGTTAAGACAATTAATGCAAAAATATGAATAACATAGAAATGCATTTCATATAGTTTCTATTGATCTTGAAATATGATTTGATTCACATTTGGTAAAAATATGCATTTACAGACATGTTAAAATTATTAGAGATATATATAAAATAGAGCATTGATTAGTATTAGATGTAGTCATAGAGAAACTAATAAGTTTTCAATTGTAATAAGATTACATTAAGGATCACTATTAAATCCATTCATAGAGATGTTTATAAATTATATTTAAAGAAAGGCACTTGGTGTTCATGTTTGTAGATGATGTAGTTCTAATGTGCGCTTAATATATGCAAATTCATTAGGTATGATTTTACCAATTATCAAGTATTGGTATAATAAGATAAAGTGATGTTTGATGTGATAGGCTTAAGTATCTTAGATCTGTTTATAGAAGAACAAAGATATATATAAGATTATGACACCTAGTGTTAAGATTTCTTGGTTATAACGAAGAAGTGTCTCGGGAGTTGGGAGGTATTCAAGTTGAGTTTAAAAGAGTTGGTTTCAACTCAAAAAAAAAAAAAAAAAAAAGATTCAAATCTAATACAAGTCAAGTTGAACATTATCTATTTAAAAAATTTTTTGGGCTACATTAATTTTATATTTCATTCAATCTTATAATGCGTTTTTCATATGCTGAGTTATTCGAGTGTGATATTGCAATTATCAACTTTTATGGGGAGTCATCTCCTTGCATCAACATGATCTATCATTTTCTCTAATTGGTGAATTCTTGTCTTGTTCCTTCCATTGCATTTTTTGTGAGTGGTTTGATGATTTTTTTTAATCAAATTTTATCCACATTGGGTGATTTTTTTATTGTAGTATGAATCCCATTTGAGTTGTGATTTTTATGGCCTTGATTTTATTGCTTAATTTTGTTGATTTAAATTATCATTTTGCTCAATTTTTTCGTAGTTTATTGAGTACATCTAAACTGTTAAATAATTGTTTAATTGGTGATTTTTGGAATAGTGAATTTTAAGGTCGAGTTTGTGTGATTTCATTTATTACATTATTTAGTTTCATTAGGAATCCTAGATCCTAAGATATTTTGCATGCATAATTGTGCATGTATGTTTGGAAATAAAATATATTATTAAATTATATGTTTATGTATCATTTATGTATGTATGTTTGTATATATATTTGTGCTCTGGAGTTCTATAAAAGAAACGATTTATTGATGTTTATATTCAAGTCAATAAGGATATGTATAATGGAGCTGCTACTTGTGCTAAAAAAAAAGTTGTTCGACCAAGTATTTTCTTATTTTAGTTGCATTACATCAAGTTTCAGCTTTAAGCCCCATATAATTTTGCTTTAGCTATGAATGTTCTTACTAGACATTTCTTAGAGGATGTACCCTGGTGTACGCATTTTGTTGATGATATTCTTTCTACGATAATTCAAGAGAGGGAGTTGAAAGAAAACTTGAATTATGGAGGTCAACCTTAGAGTAAAGGTTTTAGTTTGAGTAAATCTAAAACCCAATACATGGAGTGTAATTTTATTAGTAATAAATCTAGCAGTAGGATTGTGACATTGAGTGATCAAGTCATTAAAAAGAGCTCACATTTAACACGTCTTGGGTTTATTGTTCAAATTGGTGGTGAAATAGATGGGAATATTTTTAGTAGAATTCAAGTTGGATGGTTGAATTAGAAGAATGCATCGGGTCTATTGTGTGATAGTAAGTACCCCTAAAACTTAAGGGACAAATTTATAAGATGGTGGTGAGACTGCAATGCTTTTTGGATTAGAACATTATCCATTAAAAGCGAAGCAAAAAATTAGGCTAAGTGTTGCTGAGATGAGGATGCTTAGGTGGATGAGTGGTTTTACTCGTGGAGACAAAATGCAAAATGTTTATATACGTGAAAAGCTTGGAGTAGCTCTAGTGGTAGATGAGATTAGAGAAAGTCGACTTAGATGGTTTGGTTGCATAAAACTTTCGCCTTTTGATGACCCTATTAGGAGAGTTGATATATTAGATTTGGCTTATGTTAAGAAGGGGAAAGGTAGCCTGTTAAATTCAAAGAATTGGATAGGAAAAAGACTTAATTTTATTGCTCAAATATGTCTCTATTTATAGATATATACAAGACATCTTAATATAGAAACAAGAATCATACATAGTTGTTATAATATAATTCTTCCTAAATCATCCACCTAAATATGGAAGGAGATCGGTGCAATTCAGGTGAGTCTCTCACGGATCCCCATCCTAGTTGTGGGATTAAAATGCCAAGGGACGGCGGAGATCGGCGCAATCCAGATGAGCCTCCCATGGATCCCTATCCTAGCCGTGTGAAAATGCCAAGGGGCTGTTGAGATTTAACACTTTCCCTCAAGCTCGGGAATACAGATCTATCATTCCCAGCTTGGTAATCAGTACCAAAAAGATAGAGTTATCAAGTCTCTTGGTAATAATATTTGCAAGCTATTTTTTTTACGAGACATGTTAGGTACATATAAGAGCACTTTGTAGTTTATCCTTAATGAAAGGTCTTTCTACTTCTATGTGCTTGGTCATGTCATGCTGAACCAGATTGTGAGTTTTGTTGATTGATGATTTGTTGTCATAGTAGAAGTTTCATGGGTCCTTCCCACTTGATTCTTAGGTCTTCTGGAATCATCTTGATCCATAGTAGCTTACATATTTCCAAGGCTATAGCTTTGTATTCTACTTTTGCACTAGACCTTGCCACCGCATTATGTTTCTTGCTTCTCCATGTAACAAGGTTTTCTCTAAATAATATATAGTATCCTCAGGTAGATCGTCTATCTACCGGTGATCCTGCGTAATATGCATCAGTATATGCTTATGAGGTTATTCCACAGTCTCTTATGAAGATAATCCCTTTACCTAGGTTCCCCTTAAGGTATTGCAGTATTCTGTCTACAACTTGCTTTTGAGTCTGCTTTGGATTTTGCATGAACTGATTGACTATGCTTACAATAAATGCTATTTCTGGTCTAGTGTGGGAAAGACAGATCAATTTTCCCACAAGTCTTTGGTAAGTACCCTTATGTATATCTATTCTTTAGCTTCCCCCAATTTTGAGATTTGATTATGCTGTTATTGGTGATGGTTTACAAGCTATCTTGCCTATTTATTTAAGAAGATCATTAATATATTTTTGTTGTGAAATAAAAATTCCTCTGTTGGAGTGGACTACTTCAATTCCAAGGAAATATTTTAATCTGATTAGATTTTTGATCTCAAATTCCTTAGCAAGACATTCCTCAGAATCACTTTCTCCTTTTCATTATTCCCAGTTAAGATGATATCATCCACATAAAATAATAAAATTGTGACTTTTCCTGAGTTTGAGTGCTTGAAGAATAAAGTGATACTCTTTTGGAACAGCTTGAAATTGAGTGATAAAATTGAATTATGGAGGTCAACCTTAGAGTAAAGGTTTTAGTTTGAGTAAATCTAAAACCCAATACATGGAGTGTAATTTTATTAGTAATAAATCTAGCAGTAGGATTGTGACATTGAGTGATCAAGTCATTAAAAAGAGCTCACATTTAACACGTCTTGGGTTTATTGTTCAAATTGGTGGTGAAATAGATGGGAATATTTTTAGTAGAATTCAAGTTGGATGGTTGAATTAGAAGAATGCATCGGGTCTATTGTGTGATAGTAAGTACCCCTAAAACTTAAGGGACAAATTTATAAGATGGTGGTGAGACTGCAATGCTTTTTGGATTAGAACATTATCCATTAAAAGCGAAGCAAAAAATTAGGCTAAGTGTTGCTGAGATGAGGATGCTTAGGTGGATGAGTGGTTTTACTCGTGGAGACAAAATGCAAAATGTTTATATACGTGAAAAGCTTGGAGTAGCTCTAGTGGTAGATGAGATTAGAGAAAGTCGACTTAGATGGTTTGGTTGCATAAAACTTTCGCCTTTTGATGACCCTATTAGGAGAGTTGATATATTAGATTTGGCTTATGTTAAGAAGGGGAAAGGTAGCCTGTTAAATTCAAAGAATTGGATAGGAAAAAGACTTAATTTTATTGCTCAAATATGTCTCTATTTATAGATATATACAAGACATCTTAATATAGAAACAAGAATCATACATAGTTGTTATAATATAATTCTTCCTAAATCATCCACCTAAATATGGAAGGAGATCGGTGCAATTCAGGTGAGTCTCTCACGGATCCCCATCCTAGTTGTGGGATTAAAATGCCAAGGGACGGCGGAGATCGGCGCAATCCAGATGAGCCTCCCATGGATCCCTATCCTAGCCGTGTGAAAATGCCAAGGGGCTGTTGAGATTTAACACTTTCCCTCAAGCTCGGGAATACAGATCTATCATTCCCAGCTTGGTAATCAGTACCAAAAAGACAGAGTTATCAAGTCTCTTGGTAATAATATTTGCAAGCTATTTTTTTTACGAGACATGTTAGGTACATATAAGAGCACTTTGTAGTTTATCCTTAATGAAAGGTCTTTCTACTTCTATGTGCTTGGTCATGTCATGCTGAACCAGATTGTGAGTTTTGTTGATTGATGATTTGTTGTCACAGTGTAGTTTCATGGGTCCTTCCCACTTGATTCTTAGGTCTTCTGGAATCATCTTGATCCATAGTAGCTTACATATTTCCAAGGCTATAGCTTTGTATTCTACTTTTGCACTAGACCTTGCCACCGCATTATGTTTCTTGCTTCTCCATGTAACAAGGTTTTCTCTAAAGAATATATAGTATCCTCAGGTAGATCGTCTATCTACCGGTGATCCTGCGTAATATGCATCAGTATATGCTTATGAGGTTATTCCACAGTCTCTTATGAAGATAATCCCTTTACCTAGGTTCCCCTTAAGGTATTGCAGTATTCTGTCTACAACTTGCTTTTGAGTCTGCTTTGGATTTTGCATGAACTGATTGACTATGCTTACAACAAATGCTATATCTGATCTAGTGTGGGAAAGACAGATCAATTTTCCCACAAGTCTTTGGTAAGTACCCTTATGTATATCTATTCTTTAGCTTCCCCCAATTTTGAGATTTGATTATGCTGTTATTGGTGATGGTTTACAAGCTATCTTGCCTATTTATTTAAGAAGATCATTAATATATTTTTGTTGTGAAATAAAAATTCCTCTGTTGGAGTGGACTACTTCAATTCCAAGGAAATATTTTAATCTGATTAGATTTTTGATCTCAAATTCCTTAGCAACCACAAATTATATTATTATATAATTATTATATCATTATTATTATTTATTTTTCATTTAAATAATTATAATATTTATTATATCATCTATTTCAACTTTTGATTTAACCCCAGTCGAATTGTTGAACCTCGAACTTCTCATTTTTTCGATTTGATGTTTGGTCATATTTTTACAACCTTGGTATGCATAAATTCACATATTAGCTAAATTTAATAATTTAAGTAGAATTGAGTAGGGGTGTTAATAAATGACCTGACTTGTCAACCCGAAACAAACACGACCCTAAGAATTTGGGTTCGGGTGAACCCATTTAATAAACGGGTTGGGTTTTCCAACTTGTTTTTTACAACCTTGGTATGCATAAATTCACATATTAACTAAATTTAATAATTTAAGTAGAATTGAGTAGGGGTGTCAATAAATGACCTGACTTGTCAACCCGAAACAAACACGACCCTAAGAATTTGGGTTCGGGTGAACCCATTTAATAAACGGGTTGGGTTTTCCAACTTGTTTATTAATTGGGCAGGTTTGGGTCGACCTGCGAACTAGCTTTTGACCAAAAAATGACTCGTTTAATATCTTTTTCCCTTTATTTTCTCTTACTTGTGAGTATAATCTTCTTATTTTTTATTAAATATCATAAACTTTATAGTTAATAAGTTATAAATTTTTTTAAATCAAAACGGATTAATGGTCGAGTTTTGGTTGATGTTTTTAACCCATTTATGAAATGGGTTGGGATCAAGTTGATTGTATTTGGGTCAGGTTAATTTGGGGTCGGACCCGAACCCAACCCGTCAACCCATTTTGACATCCCTAGAATTGAGTTATGTTAATTATGTGAGAACATTAAATGTGCTGCTTTGATCTAACTTTGTTCAAGATTAAATATGAGGACCCCCTCTCTTAAAGGAACACATGTTGATGTAGAACGGGGAGGAGGCTTGACTCCTAAACGTCTGGGACAGCGGTTCCGAGCAGTTCTAGGCAGCACCGATCGCTCCTAGATGGGCTGGACAGCAGCAAACTGCTGCGGGAAATTCTGGACAGCAGATTGGAGGTCTTGGGAAGATCCTGGACAGCTGTTTGAAGCCTTCCCGATGGTGATACGGTAAAGGAATTCTTGCTGGAGTTGATGGGCAGCAAGCTGTCCTTCTTTGGACAGCAACAGCTAATCTCTTGAATGCTTGGGTGAGATGAGGCGGTGGATGCATGGCTAAGTTGGAGGGCGGTTTTGGACTTGAGCTTGATGTTGGATTGCTCTTGGGCGAAGTATGCACAAGGAAATAGCAATAAATTGGGGCCGACCTACAAAAATGGAACGAATCTATCCTTTACTAATTAATCTTCCCATAATAGATTTTTTTTAATCTTTTTAAATCTACCGAGGGCTATAGTTGTAGTGATCTTCTTATTCAACTAGTTAAATCATTTAAGAGTTTCATAGATATTTTGTGAGCTAGATAATAGTAAGTTGGTGGGGAATATGACAATATGTAAGAGGAAGGAAAGTGACTTGGGAATTCCGGGGAGAGGAAATAAGACCTTAAAATGCCTTTTTGGGGCAGCAGTGGTGAAAACTGAAAACATTTTGATATTTTCCTAGGACTTACTACTTAGGTTGATTAAAAGGGAATTAAATAGAGATACGATCACATCTTTTGATATATTTCCCTTCATTTTGTATAATTACATGCATCATCCTACATCTAATTCTATGTTGTCTGTTTGCTATTTATTGAAAAAATTCTGGAGGCTAAGGATCCATAATTGCTTGTATTGCGTGAATTATGTTTTATTCTCCTGAGTTACCATTCCTTTTCTTTCTTAGATATATAAACAAAATCCGAATTTTATCTAGAATTCACTTTATATTTGGAAAGTATTGAGTAAGAAATGAGAGAAAGACTGTGATACTGATGTAATACATGCAAGGAGTTTACAAGAGATTAACAAGAGAATTTAAGAAAAGTTATCCATCATAAAATTATGTGTCAAATCAAAGTAAGATGTTATAAATTCGCAGTCTTCCACTTGCTTATGCAAAGAAATGCATGAAGATTAATCAAGACACTATTAATCAAATACAAAGGCAAACATAATGAAATAGCTTATAACACAAATCCAAAATTTAATATTGAGATGTTCACCTTGAGGGTTTACTCGCTCAACTATTCTAGGGTTAGCGGAAGAAGATTCTCCACACTAGAAATTGAGAGCGCACCACTAGGAAAATGGGGCCTAGGAACTTTGTCATTGGAGAGGTAACCGACGGCAGTTGGATTTGTTGACGTCCAAGTTTAAATCGAAGAGGGGAGATTGCAAGAAGTTTGTCCGACCTTGATCATCATAAACAAAACCATGGTCGATGTTGGGATCGGCCATGCACTAGCATGAGACTAAGAGGGACTTGAAAGTCTTGGCTTCGTTGCGGAGAATCCCTCAAGAGAGAAGCGAAACCAAAATACAAAATAGGAATATGGGAGAGAGAAGGCCGGTCACTCCAAAGGGGAGAAACTTAGGCTTGGTGAAGTGGAGGTAAGGTGAATTGATGGAGAAGTGGAGAATTATTTTAGGGAAAGAGAAATATGAAATTTAATTTCAGATTTTTGAATTAGAGAGGGAGGGAAAATTAATGCGAATTCAAATCCCCTAAATTAGGGCTAAAAGCCGACGGTTATGGGAGGGGATTAAGGGAGCATTAATTGGGATATGAATTGGATTGGAGAGTGAAATTATGAGGGAGAGGGGGGGTCGGCCATGTAGAGAGGGGAGAGAGGGGTTTTGTGTTTAATATGTGGGCCCCAAGGAAGTTAATGTAATTTTAATCAAATCTGAATTTAATTTTAGATTTGATTTAAATAATAAGAAACTTCTAAATGGGACTTAACTCTCTTAGGAAGGGATTTGAAATTCAAAATAGATTGATTGCCAACAAGGATTCTTTCCTAAATCGCATAGAGGTAATTTAGGAAAATAATTCTGACAAAATTTGAATTTCAAAATTCAAATTGGGAGACTATGGATGATGGGCCGGCGGGTTGAACAAGTAGAGGGGGAGATGGGAGGGCTTGCCGGCGGTTGGACGGGTGGCCGGCTGTTTGGCCGGCCAAGCAGGCCGGCGGACAGGTGATGGGGGCTCGGTTTTGTGAGGAGGGGAAGGGGAAGGGGTGTAGGAGACCGTCGGGTAGGTGGCTAGGAGATGAGGTGGGGAGAGAGGGGAAAGAAGAAAAAGAAAAGAAGATCGAAGCCGCGAACCTTGGAATACTCCTAATGTTGACGGGTACTGCTTTCATCCACTAAGGGACTCTCCTCTCATGAACTCACTTAGAGATCAAACAATGGAAAATAAAATTTCTTTCACTAATCATCATGGTTTAAAATTGCGCAATATGAGGCTCGCCTTGAGGCCCTCCTTTGCGCAATTCTAGTAAAAAAAGCCTCGATGCTTACGCCTCTAGTTTTTTTTATGAGGCTTGCGCCTCAGCTTGGTTGAGGCCCGCCTCGCCTCACTGGCATGAGGCTTACGTCTCACGGTATATATATTAAAACTTACATAAATCTTGAAGTAAATGCCCGACATTGAACTCTATAGGAGAGAAGGAGAGAGAGCAGTTCATCATAATGATGATTCAAATGAAGAACCCCTTAGTGATGACAGTGTTGATGACTTATGAGTTCTTATGTGATATGTCATTGTTATTTATTTTTGGAAATTGAAATTATATTTTAATGAAAAGAATACTGAGATTTGGGAAAGATAGAATTTTGAGTTGAACTATATTTCATGTTGTTTTATTATTGGGATATTTTGATTTTACTTCATATCTTATGCTTTTTTATGTTTTATATTATTCACTCATTAGTATATAAAAAATTTATCATTTTATGTTTACGCAATCTTTTGATTTTGAGGCTTACGCCTCAAAACGCCTTGAGGCTTTCGCCTCGCCTCACGAATGAAAAACGCCTCAATACCCGAATACGCAATTTTAAACATTGCTAATCATCATCCGATACAATAGAGGAGACCATAATATATGGGCCTAAGGAAACAAAAATATAATGACTTAAATGCCCCCGGGGCTACAACTCAAGACAACTAAAAGAAAGGGTTCAATCGTAAATAGCAATTAATACATAAACATCAAAATAACAACTAAGCATCAAAATAAAGGCTGTGGATCGTAGCCCTCGATCTGCACCTCCTGCGCTGATATACACGTCGAAAACATATGTCGATGTCCTCATCAGATACATTATTTTCCATTCAACACTTCATCTGTTCCCAAAACATTTCCTCTGAAATTCCGAATTTTAATTGATAAGTCGAGCAACTTTTGAAAACTGATCTAAACTGTATTATTTGTAGTGGGAGCTTTGTCAAGATGATCTAGATTTATTTATAATTATCTTAATCCTCTTTTTAAATTCATGCCGGGGTGAACATTTTGTTTTAGTTTTGGCTTTCTTATTTCATTTTTTATTGTTTCGTTGGGAGCTTGGATCTTTGATTTGTTTCTGCCTTGATATACTTTAAATTACCCTTTTCCCATGACATAGTTCTTTGAATCACAGGAAATGGTTATTTTCTCTTCAAATTTAATTCTAGTGTTCTTTGACTTATGCTTCATGGATGTTAAGTCTTGATGGCTTTATACTATGAATCTTGTAGGTTTTGGAACTTATTCAGCAGATAGAAACAAGTAGAAGCCAGTTAAATACTTTAGAGGACCTCCATCATGCCCTCAAAAGGTGAATGCCATTTTAAGGTATTAACACGATTTGCATGCTGTTTATGACTTCTCTGAGACAATCTTCCGAGGCAATGGGGTTCAGTAAGGATTAAATTTTGTACTTTGAATAATAAAGTAGTAATTAAATGTTATTTTTCAGGTGTAATGCATTATGAATATAGCTTTTCTCATGTGATTTAAGTTGTATTAATCAATTAGTGCAACTGAAAGAAAGTTGAAGGAGAGATGGTATGCCAAAACTTACCTAGATCTCCTTCATGTATCTTCTTTAGAAAGATCTATCTCAATAAGTACACGAGCCAGCGATGGTCAAGCGGTTGCAGCATCTATTTATAATGGTTTGTCATAAATTGAATCCAAAGAGTTCAGTAGTGAAATTTCAAAAAGAAGAAGAAGAAGAGAGAGAGTACAATAGTGTGGATTTGTTGATGTAGTGGACTTGGATATGAGGGAACCTAAGGTCTTTTTTTTCTTGTTGTGACATATGAGTACCATCTTTTTTGCTTAACATTTATGGGGCACAATGATATGTGCCTTTATTGATGAATGCACATGTATGCCAAAATTTTCTATTAAAAGCCAAAGGTGATGCAGGTACCATCTTCGTCATCATTTTAAATATTATAAAAGATCAATTGGATTTTGAAATTAAAAGAGCTTGGTTCGACAATGCCAACGAGTTTTAAACCATTTTCTCTCCTCATATGTTTAAAAAAGATGAATAAGACATGCGTCCTCTTGTATATACAACCCTGTATGAAATAGAGTGGCTGAACAAAAGAATGGGCATCTTTTTGCTCACCCACGAGTGATAATTTTTTTAAGAATGTTCCAACATAATATTAGGAGCGTTGTCTTAATAGCCGTTTTTATAATAAATCGATTGCTTATGAAAACCCTTGGATTCATGAGTCTTTTTCAAGTCGGGAGCCAATTTCTTTCCCCATTTTAACACTTCAAATAATGTTGTTTTCAAAATATTTGGAAGAGTTGTCTTTGTCCATATACATCATCAAAATAGAGAAAAAATTGATCTAAGAGCAATTAATTGTGCTTATTGGCTACTATTTTACTCAAAAAGGGTATGCATATTATCATGCCTCACGAGAAAGGTGTATGTGTCTGTTGATGTCACTTTTAATGGAGATGATTTCTACTTTACTGCTATTTACTCCAAAAAATAAGTTTATTCACAAACAAATTCTTTCTCTTGTATTGTTATTCTTTATCATTTATCTCTACAAACAGCTCTATTTTAGAATAATCTACTCCTACATCGATCAATCTTAATACTAAAACCTCTTTCTACATCGATCAATCTTATACTAAAACCTCTTTCTACTTAGTCCGTACGTGTTTACTCAAGAATGAAGCATCTCAATTGATATAGGTCTAGTCAATCGAATTAATCCTTGTCATTGAACTCGGTACTGGAACCATTAAGCATACAAATAAAAGTACATCTTAACATCCCTTAAATTAGTGACACTATTAAAGAAAAGAGATTAGTAGTGTAGATTGGCCTTTATTAGGGGTGTAATAGAGTCCAAGTTGACTCGCGAGCTGGGTCAGGCTCATTAACAGGCTTCCCGAGTTGAGCTTATCGAGCTCGAAATCTCGAGCTCGACTACTTATCGAGCTCGAGTTCGAACAACACACCGATTGACTCGTGAGCTCGTCAAGCGGCTCGCGAACGGAGGAGTTCCACGGGTGGGAAACTGCGATGGAGACGGACGATGTGAATGGAGGAGGACGACTCGCTTGGACGCGGACGACCCTCAAGGCTCGCGAGCCGGCTCGAGCTCGTTTTCAGTGGGATTGCCCGAGTTCGAGTTGCTTTCTGACTGACGAGCTGAGCTCAATAGTGCTAAAACTTGACTCGACTCGACTTGTCTCGTTTACACTCCCAATCTTTACTGTAAAGTACAAAGTAGATGACTCATTAAAGAATGCTACACAAACATATGAGATTGATTATCTTGAAATTTTCGCTGTTGTTGCTAAAATGAATATTGTATATGTTTTTTTATTATTAGCAGCTAATAAGGATTGAAAATTATAACAATTCAATATGAAAAATGCCTTCTTACAATATGATCTAGAAGTGGAGGTATCTATGTATTTCTCATAGGAATTTTGCTCAAATATATATTAACTAAAAGTATATTATATGGATTGAAGCAATCTCCAAGGGCATGATTTGGGAGGTTTGACAAGGTAATGCTCAACATGGGGTACAACTAGAGCCAATGCGACCATACATTATTGATGAAACACTCACATTTAGCAGGAATTCTCACACTACTAATTGACTACATCATTGTAACAGGTAATGAATTCGAAGAATTGAACTCTAAAAAAGTGATTGCTTCAAGAATTCAAAGTCAAAGAAATAGATAAGCTAAAGCACTTCTTTGACATTGGGGTTGGACATTTTAGACATGGGGTTTTAAAATCACTACAGAAATACATAATAAATCTGTTGAAGGAAGCATGCAAGCTGGGTTGCAAGCCTGTTGATAGCTCAGTGGAATTTAATCATAACTTGGAGATGCTCCATAAGACGGTCATAAAAAAATCTCCTATCAAAGACTTGTTGGAAGACTTGTCTACTTATCACATACTAAACTTAACACTGCCAATATTATTTGTGCGATAAGTCAATTCATGTATATAATCTTAAAGAATCACATTTTAGGGTTGTACTTTGAGTTTTATAATATCTTAAAGGAACTTTAGGTAAAGGAATTTAATTCAAAATAGAGGAGGATTTAACACTTGAAGCATGTACAGATGCTGATTATGCATGATCTATGGTTGATAGGAGGTCAATTTTAAGATATTTCACATTTTCATGAGGCAATCTGATGTAGAACAAAGAACCGCTTTGCTATGGATAGGGATCAAGCTACAGGTTATGCACCATAAATTTTGTCTAGAGCAGTTATGAGATGATTTCTTTCGTGAATGGATCTCTTCTCCACAATCTGAGAGGAATCTCGGATTTGCCAACAGCAGGTTGATAGCCCAAGCTCTTCTCAAAGAGAACCACAAAATCCTGGGTAGGCTTTAGGAAGAATTCAGTTCAAAATTTCCAATTTTCTGTCCAGCAAAACTGAAACAATTTCAGATCAAAATGTGGTGGTCAGATTTAGTGCAAAAGTTGAATTTAGATCTATGACATCAGGAATCTATGAATTGTTATGGTTGAAATTCATCTATGAGAATTTAAAATTTGTATGGATCAAATCAACCATCAATATTGCACATAATCTCATGCAAAATGGCTGAATAAAATATAATGAAGGAAACATACATATTTTGAAGAAGTTATGTCAGTTTAATATGTACTCTCTTCGTTGTCATAGTTGGGCAACTTGCAGACACTTATTAAAGAATTATCAGGGACAATACAATTTCTAAAAAATTTACATTTAAACTTGGAATAGACAACATGCTTTATTTGCTTGAGGAGCGTGGAAAATTAGTCTCCATCAATTCTGCCTCCATTAATGTTCTACCAAGTCCAACAGTTATTTTTCTTAGTCACTTCATGCCATCTCAATATTTTGTGGGATTATTAGTGCTACCTCATCAGTATGTGAGCTATTGTAATTATTATTATACCTACTCGTAAATTTATGGACTATTATAATTGTTCAATAATTATTATTACTTGATTTTTTTATATTCCTTATTAGTTCTTCTAGGATTGCATGAATACTACACAAAATTTGAAATGAATGCTCAACTAGTTCTCTCCAAGTCTTGCTAGATATCATAATTAATAATACATGAACTTTGAAATGAGATTGGCATGAATCTATCATAGATTTGTCTTCAATTCTCTCTAATTCTTGTCAGATATATGTCTCTAGATGTGCTTTTGACCTTTATATGATTTCTATACTTTTTTTTTTACTTTTTTCTATATTTTGGGCTCAAGCAGCTATTTCATTTGCTTAACGTTTTATGTCATGTTATGATTACTATTTTGTTAATGACATTTATTTTGATAATTAAAAATTGGTGATTCTTAACAATTTTTATCTTTATTCATCAGTTCAGTCATGCTCTTAGAAAAGTTTAATTTATTATTGTGACTAATTAGCCATCTTCTTTCAGTGATGGCCCTTTTTCTTATCCCTTAATTATTAAAATCTTTGCGTGTGTTTCAGGTTAGAAACAATTTGTTCGCTTGAAGACTTATTTTGTGGCGTGAAGTGTATTGAGTTTGAAGACAACTGCATTAGACTTTCACTGAGGACACCGATACCTTCTATGGATTCCTTAAGTATCCAAAAGAAGCTTGACTGTTCCTTGGAGCGAACTGCCTTGGATCATGAGTTGTTAATAGAAGTGAATGACCAAATGGAACTTAAGAATATTGAGGTATAATTTACAAAGTTTTTGATGAGCTACACAATCTTTTATTTTCCTAGGAGGCTTGATATATCTTACAGAAACTCAAAATTATGCAATAAATTTAAATTATTTGAGTAATGCAGAGTTTAGTCTCCGGCTGTTGTGTGTTGATTTTAATTTTTCAGTGCTGTCTTTGATGTTTAATATCAGTTGTATCAAGCTCAGGCTTGAGTTACTTCTGCTTGATTTAGGCTGGTTGGAATCAGCTCATCTGCAATGCCATATAGTTCTTAGCCGTCTGAGGATCCAATTCATAATGCTGTATGTATCAATAAAGAGTACCGAACATGCTCTATATGAATTATAAACTAGCTTAAGACAGTTTATCCTAATAGGCTATAGTAGGAAGACCTCCAGTATGACTATAATTTAATTACTATTTTGGTTTGGTTGACTTCTGCTGAAACTTAATCCAATCGTGAAACTTCTCTTGAACTGGTTCAGACTTGGCCAAGTATGGGTTCTTTTTGGAGATCTGAAAAAATTTTCAATCCTATTTGTTTTTTTGTGATTATCTTAAGGGAAAAATTTATAAGATGGTGGTGAGACCTGCAATGCTTTATAGTGCCGAATGTTGGCCATTAAAAGAGAAGCATAATACTAAGTTAAGTATTGCAGGGATGAGGATGCTTAGGTGCATGAGTGGCTTTACCCTTAGAGATAGGATACGGAATGAGCATATACGTGAAAAGGTTGGAGTAGTTCCAGTGGAAGTTAAGATTAGAGAGAGTCGCCTTAGATGGTTTTGGTCACATTAAACGGAGGCCTTCTGATGACCCAGTTAGGAAAGTTGAGGTTTTAGATTTGTCTTATGTTAAGAAAGGTAGAGGTAGACCTAAAAATATTTGGTTAGAAAATATTAGAAATGATCTTTCTTTATTAGATTTAAATGAGAAGTTGATTTTTAACATGACACAATGGCCAAAAAGGATTCATGTAGCCGACCCCACGTAGTGGGACAAAGGCTTGATATTGTTGTTGTAGAAATCGGTGGAACTCCTCTGTAACTGAATAAAGCATGACAATTACAAAGTTATAGAGTCAACAAGAAATCAAAGGAAAACAATAAGATAAAAAAGGGAAATTAAGTAGTACTTTTAAAATGATCTTGTGATCTGTTGGGAAGATTTACCGAAGTCTTCTTTTCTAAAATAAGGCGTACCTTATTTCCACGACTAAAATCCATCCAAAAATTTGCTTGGGATAACGTATTGAAAGATATTGATTATTTTGTCATCCTTGATAATATTTGTAAAATATTTGTTGTCCTTTCATTTTGAGTGTTTTAAAGAGCCAAGAGTAGGAAGATGCATAAGTCAATAAATCTTGGTAAGGATATTTGAGCATATGGATGAAGAGTTCTAACCATTGGATCAATCCTCTTATTGCCCTTATGTTGCATTCTGTGTGCCTCTTTCTATTTTAGTCGCCATTTTTTTTGGTAAATAGCTGTATACCTTTTGGAGAAGTTTATAAACGTTTCCACCCTTTGTGCAAAATCAAATAATAAAATTCGAAGTAAAATTTTCTACCTTTTTACTTTTCTAGTTGATATCAAAGCGAGGTTAGGGTTTTCGCCTTCCAATATTTTTTTCTCTTTTCTTGTCGTGGTTCATCCATCTCTTTATCATAGCTGATTTTTGTTACTTCTCTTCCAATAAATTGACTATCATAAATTGTGAAAATTAGACTAAAGGAGATTTACATTAGTTATAAGCCATGTATCTTCTGAATGGGAGAAATTATTTGAAAAGATCCTTAATTGTGAAGACTTTCCTAAAATAAAAGGGAAATATCCATCATCTTGTGGATTTTCCTTCTGTGCTAAAAATCCAAAATGTGTACTTTGAGATAAAGTGGATTTTATGATCATGTTATGGTTATTGAATACCATTTTGCTTGAAATAAATGGGCTATGTATGTTTTTCTCTATTGCAAATTTAGTTTGGGGCGACGTCAAACAATTGTACTTAAAAGTGAAGGATGTTCTTATTTACAAGTTCAAAATTAAAATTTCAACAACCAAGCAAGCTAACCTTCATGCTATTGAATATTTTAATGCAATGAAGGTTTAGTGGCTTCTAGTGGATTATTGCCAAGATCCAAGATGCATGCCACGATGATACTATCATACTCAAGCACTTTATAAAAAGAGAAATAATGTTTTAGTTCTTTGTATAACTCAATAATAACTTTGATGAAGTTTACATCAAATTTTAACCAGAGAATCTACAATTACTAAATGAGATTTTTTCTCTCATATGAGTCAAAATATAAAGAATGATTGTAATTCTCGACGGTCCGATCTTCGAAACATCTACCATGATGATCACTTAACTCCAAGGTAAATAACTTACTGTTATCGACCCTTTCGTAAAGAAGGGGGGGGGGGATCCTTCTTTTAAAAGCAATTTGGGGTGCAAATGCTATGAAAATAAAATCATGATATTTACCCACTATGGTGCCACCTTATTTATAGATGAAGTTCGGAAGTCTTGTATATATAGGTCGTTCAAATTTTGAATAGCTAGATTGACATCAGACATTATTTAAACCTAAAATTGTGAATCCTAATTTATTAAATCTCTTTGATAGCCAAAGCACAAATGCTTATATCAAATTCTGAATGATAACTGATTCAAGCCCCACCTCAATTAGCAGGTGCAAGGACTCTCAGTCAAACTAATTTATCAACTAATACAGCCTTACCGACAGGGTATCATTATAAGATTGATCAATGGATTTTTCTTGTCCTTGAGGTGTGAGTCTTGTTTATGAGTTTTCCAATAGATGTGAGCCCTATCCTAATTAATTAGGGTTGACACGAAGCAAATGAATCTACTAAATTAAAATTGAGTTTTTCAATGGATTTAAGGCCGAACTAGATTAAACTTGAGCCATTTCCATTCTAACTAGCCCATTAATTAAAGCAATCTACCAATAAAACCTCATGTGTCTTAAAAAAAAAGAAATATATATTACATGAAGAGACAATATTTGATTAAATTTCATAATTATATGAGTTTTTACATTTGTCTTCTCATCTTTTATTGATTCAAGCCATAATCAATGGTGGATGTCCAAGCTTGTTTCTTCTCTCTCCTCCTCCCTGATCGGTTCACCACTCTCTCCTCTCTACTCCTTGGGTTGCAATGTTTCTCTACTTTCTCCTTGAATTTGTGGGAGTAACATTTGGTGGGGCATCACTATTACCTATATTATCTTTTTACCTCTAAACATGATAAAAAAATCAATAAGGGCTGATGCATGGCTTCTATGTCACACATAGATGTCAATGGCGCAAAATAGCGCGCGCCATGGCACACGGCGCAAACGTTCAAAATGACGCGCTCTATTTGCGCCACAGCGCGCCATGGCGCATGGCGCACACCGCAAAATAGCGCGCGCCATTTGTTTTAAAATTTTTTTAATGTAATTATAAATATTTTTTATATTTTTTTAAGATAATATATTTTCTAATTTTTAAATATATTAAAACTATTAAGATAAATGTTAGATTGCATATTATTATCTTCTTAATGCTATTTACTTTCTTTTATATATATTTTAGTTGTATAAAGATTGACTACTTATTGGATTTGAAATTATGTTGGATTGTTATTTATTTATATTGTCGTTGTTTTCTTGTTATTGTGATAGTTTGTCTTTTAATTTAATGATATGTCATATTCATGCTTATTATTTTATAATTCTTTTATAATTTGCGCCATGTTTAAAATGGCGCGCGCCGCGCCTTGCGCTATGCGCCATGGCTCAAATAGGACCTTTGAGCCATGGTGCGCCATTCGCCATTAAAAAGTATGATGTCACATGCAAATGTGGTGATAAATGGATGTTAATATTATCTCTTTTATCCATTTAGCACTAACTCAAGTGCATAAAATGAAAGGGAAATTGGCTTGAAAACATAAAATAGCCTAGTCATGCAATGTAATACTCATAGAGGAGATCATCAATTTAGATATACTAATACCTTTCATTCTTTTTTAACTTTTATTGATTTGATAACCTTGTGTTGTATCAAACCAACTGCTACTAGGCCTCAACATGAATAAGCACCATAAAATACCAAAGTTGAAATTCATGCCTTCGAAGGTAATTCTTCTTCTTCTATAATCCACCGAGAAGCTTGAGCAATCATTAATATTGCAAGTAAGAATGTTTCTTCCGATTTAATTAAGTTGGAAAACAAAGATTTTGATGACTAGGCTTTTATTTGTTTATAATGAAGCTGTGTAATCTCATCATCAGATGCATTTCCAGTTAAAATAAAGGAAAGTCAGTGTAATCTAGTATGTATTGATTAGGCTGCTAATTAATTGTGTTAAGTTAACTAGAGGTCATCGTAGCACATATTAATCAAATTATATATATATAAGATGGCAGCACTCGTTATGCTATAAATCAAACCTAAACTTGAAGAGCAAGTCAACTATTTATGCATGCAATATTAATTAATTAGTGATGCTATGGAATAGGTGATCTAAGGGCTGCCTTAAGTGTTTGGCAGTATTAAGGGAAGCAAGTGCATTTTTTCAAAGTAGAATATTACAACAGTTGTTGATATAATTGTTAAATCCCAGCCAAGGTTTAAAATTGAGTAAATAAGCCTCGAGGCGTTTTTCGTCCTTGAGGCGAGGCGTAAGCCTCGAGGCAGTGTGAGGCGTAACTGCGTAAGCCTCACTGACAAAGAATTGTGTAAATGAGAATTTAAGGGTTTTAGCAAGTAAATAATAGTAAGATTCTATCATACAATAAAAACATTTAAATAACAAGTAAAATTAGGGGAAAGTAATAAAATAGATACAATAAAATCATGTTCCAAAGTTGATGTAGACAAAGGGGGGGGGGTCAACTCATGTCCAAAATAAATCAATTTTGGCCTCCCTCGAGTTTACGAGCTCAATCAAAATTGAGCTGAAATTTTAGCTCATTTATGAGCTGGT